CTACAATACAATCAATTCAAATACATACAATACAATCAATTCAAATACAATCAATCTACTCCACACACTCCACTCGATTCATAACCAACACCTCGAATCGACGATTTGATACTTAGGCTGCTCATAAAGTCTTTAGTACAATTGAACTCAAATCAGCTTACCATCAGGTAAAAATATGACCTGAAGATTACAAGCTAACCGCATTCAAAGCAAATGGCAGACTATACGAGTTTAAATGTTTACCTTTTGGTTGCACAAATGCTGTACCAATTTTTCGGCGGGTTATGGATGAATTTATTCAAAATAATAAACTAGAAAATACATATGCTTACCTCAATGATATAATTATTGGTGGAAAAGATGACCAAGAGAAAGATAAAAATCTTAGCCGTTTCTTACACACATCTCAAATCGCCAACATAAAAATAAACAAAGAAAAGAGCAAATTTTTAAAAAATCACATCGAATTTTTAGGCCATATCATTGAAAATGGAACATTAAAACCCGACCCTAAAAGATATGAAGCTCTTATAAATATGCCAGAACTAAAAACCTTGAAAGAATTAAACCGAATGATAGTTTTATTCGCCTACTACGCTAAATGGATACACAACTGTACCAAGTTTACTCTACCCCTTACTCAAGCAAGAGACGATTTTTCAACAAAGGGCTTGATCCCACAGGCAAAAGAAGCAATTAAAAAGCTCAAAATTAAACTTGCAGAAGCTTGTCTAGCCTCCCCCAATTTCAAAGTTCCACTAACTATTGAAACAGATGCCTCTGACTCAGCACTGGGAGGAACGTTACTTCAACTAGGCAGACCTGTGGCTCTCTCAAGAACGCTAACAAATGCTGAAAGAAAACACGCAATTGTCGAGAAAGAAGCAGCTGCTATTGTAAAATGCTGTAAAAGATGGAAATACCTAATAATTCAGTACCATATAACATTATAATTACAGACCATAGATCCATTTCCCTTATTTTCAATAAACAGATTTTAACAAAAAAACAGATTTTAACAAAAACGAAAAACTAACTCGATGGTGTTTAGAATTAGCAGATATTAATTATACAATTTCATACAGACCAGGAAATATCGTAGCCGATGCCCTTTCTTGATGTTGCTTAATTCAAAACACCAATAAAACCTTTTACAATATTCATTCCCAATTAGGTCATCCTGGAATTAAAAAAATGATGCATTATTGCAAAACCTGAAATCTACCTTACTCTACCACTGAAATTAAACAACTAACAAGCCAACGCACAACCTGTAACAAACTCAAACCGCGCTTCTACAAACCTCCAGCTGGTTGTCTTTCCAGGCAACAAGACCTTGGGAACACTTATCTATAGACTTTGTTGGACCTTTACAATCCACCTCAGCTAATAAATACATCCTTTTGGTAGTAGACGAATACTCTCGCTACCCATTTGCATTCCCTTGTAAGGATATAACAGTCGACACTGTGATACAATAGCTTCTCAGTCTTTTTTCATTATTTGGTGCACCATTATCTATGCATACAGATTAAGGAACACAGTTTGAAAGTATAAAACTTAAAGTATTCCTAGAAAAAAACGGTGTCAACCAAACTCGAACTACTCTATATCACCTACAAGGCAACGGTCAATGTAAAAGAATGAATGGAATAATACTTAAAGCTGTTAGTCTGGCTCTGAAAACATTGAGTCTGGGAAAAGATAGATGGGAGGTAGCATTGCAAATGGCTCTATCCTCTATAAGAAGACTTCTGTTTACTGCTACTAACGAAACATCTCATCAGAGGATGATGAACTTTCAGCGTTCATCAATAATAGGTACAGTTCTACCAAACTTCTTAACAGAGCAGGATTCAACAATTTTATACAGACGTCAAATACGATTAAAGGAAGATCCACTTGTCGACATAGTTCAACTATTAGAAACAATATCGCCTCACTTCGCACGTGTGAAACTTCAAAATGGAAAAATTGATACAGCTTCAATAAAAGATCTTGCCCCACTACAAGATAGAAATCCCTTAATAGAACCAGTCCAACAACAGTCCGAATGCTCGAACAATTACGAAATTGTCATTAGTAACAACAGCCACAATTCTGAAAATAGAAAACAAGTTGAATTAAATGATACCAACGAAGTAGTTTCGAACCTACTGCATCCATTTGGGAATCCAATAAAGGATAGCTTCTCTTATAATTAATCAACTACAACAGTACCTAACCAACCATCTATTCAAAAGGTTATTATTACTCCTGACACACAACCTAATATATCTCCAAGAACAGGACGTACTATTGTAGTAAAAGACCAAAGCATCTCAACGACTACTTTCTTTCATAGAGTATTATCCAAGAGTAGGCCGTACTAAAACTTTCTAATTTGAACTAAATAATTGACGTCAATCACGTCAATTTAGTTCAAATTAAAAATCATCAAATTTTCAATTTAGGAGCGGCTCCAATATTAATTTTTGTTTAGCATTAATATACTAAACCCACCTGATAATTCTGTAAAGAAAAAATCTAGGTACCTTCATCTTTAACCTAAACCCCCTAAACCTTTTGTTATGTATTCTAAGATATTTTATTAAATTTTTGTCTTGAATTACTTACACAACTCATATACAGTAAACATAGTTTAGTTATTTAAGCTTGCTAAATAAATTGTTTTAATATTTTTAATTTCTCTGTATATAAATAAAATGCTGATTTGTTTATTCTATTATAGTATCTTAAAAGTGTTTAACATTTTTGAACAATAGTACAATAGAAACAAACAAAACTACAAACTTAAAAGAATGTGTGATGGTATAGGCAATCAATACTCGTGCAAAAAAAACTCACAAAAAAGTTGTAGAAGATCCAAATGATTATGATTTTACTACAAACTAAAACACTATAAACTTAAAATTGTGATGAAAATTTGATTGATTTTAGTGATTATCACTTAAATAATTTACTTCATAGTTTAATTAGTCATAAATTAGTGATTCATTAATTACTTCATAAATTAGTTAGCTAAGTTTGCATTATATTGTTTATACATTGTTCATTCATTGTTCAGGTGAGACACCTTTAGAATTAAAGTGAGCAGAGCATACTTTCAAGGATTTGGTTGGTTCCTTTTGCCTATTAACTGTTGCTAGTCATTATTGAAATCGTTGAATTCAATGAAATCAGAAAAAAATTGCACATGTCCAACATACCTTACTTTCAGTGGTAATATATTTGTACATAAGGCCCACATCTAATAACATCTTTAAATGACAAAGAGTCGCCTCTTCTGACAAACTCATTGCACCTTAATCAATGAAATGAAATAGATCTTCTAAACATTATAACAGCTTGCTTGAATGGATACATATATTCCTTGAAAATGATAAAAAAACTTACATATTTTCTATTACATATTTTCTAGCACTATTTGTAGAAGTCCTTAAAACTTTACAACTTATTTCAAAAAATTTTAGAATTTGATTTGTGTCCTCTTCCTACTTTTCTTTAAGATCTTTCAGTCAAATTCGTCTACTATGTATACTTTTATTTGCAGCAGTTTTTGATGCAAAGAACGGATAATTAGAACACTTCTTTTAAATTTAAAGTTTAACTTATAAACAGCACCCACTTGATAAGTTTTATTTGTCAATAAAAAGTCTGTTTTATAAAAAACACCCTTGATATGACAGCAAAAAGATAAACATATATTTACAATGATTTGAAACTTATAATAAAATTATAGTCATTTGGATCTTCTGCAACTTGTTCACGTTTTTGGCAAGAATGTTGATTGCCTCTGAAATTATACATTCTTTTAAGTTTGCGGTTTCCCTTGTTGCTTATTATTAAATTATTGATAATTGTTAAATATTTTTAATATACTAAAGCAATTTAATAAGTAATTCAGCATCGTATTTATATACATGGCATTTCAAAATACTAATACAATTTAATAAGTTATTTAACATGTTTAAACAACCAAAATGTGTTTACTGTGTCTGAGTTATGTGTGTTAGCAAATTGACAAAAATATAAAAAAAAAATCTTATGTGTTACTTAAAAAAAGATGTTAAAAATGTAAAACAAAAATAATTAAGCATATTTTTGAATGCTTTGAATACAGTTTACTATACTTTATATACTTTATATTTGGATACAGTTTACTATACTTTATATACTTTATATTTGGATACAGATTACAATACTTTATATACAGTTTACTTATTCACACATTACTTATAATACACCTTTGAAAACAAGTTATTTAATAGAGTTTAATTTTTTAAGCAAAAATTACTTATATTGTGAGATATAGAATTAAATTCTACATAAATATATTCATAAATAATCATTAAAATTTTATCAAGGAATATATTATCTAAATAATTGTAATTAAATACATTATGCTAATAAATGTTTCTTTTGTTTACTTTATTTGCCATACAGAATGGCGTCACAAATTTTAACATCATGTGATAAAATACTATCTATATTAAGGCTTAAATACATTATCTTAATATCATACATACAAATCTTAAATAAAATTAGTTGTAAACATGTTAATGTACAATTTTATCTAATCAAATAAATTAATATTAGCTTTTAAAATAAAAAAATGAAATAATAAATAAAAAGTAAAAAAATATTTTAATCAAAAAAAAAAAGTTTTTTTTTAAATGAGTTGTTTTTTTTTTTTAATTTTTTTAACTTGACAAAACAAATAATTACAATAAATAAATTATAAACTCATGTTAAACAAATAATATATATTCTTTACATGTATTTATTTTTGTACACCAACATTTTTTAGAGATTCAGGACAATTGGTGTATGCCGTAGTAAAGCAAAGATAAATCCATTTTTGTGTTTTGGATTTTGCTGAATATTTATATATACTTGCAATTGTTTTTTTATTTTTTATTTATTTAAGTAATATATACTTGCTATTGTTTACTTATTATTATTTGTGATGAAAAAAAAAGTCTTCAACTAATTTCTAGGTTACTGAGTCTTTTGATCTGCCACCAAACGGATGGCTACTATACAAAGACAGAGCTTATAAAGATGAAATAGCAAGAAATGCTAAAAAATCTCTAAGAATGTTGCATCTACAGTATTATTATTTTTTTTTTTTTTAGTTAATATTTTTTTAATCATGATCTTATTGATTTATTTTTTTTTTTTTTTTAAAGTTAAGTTTTCTAGTTCTACTTGTTAGGCATGGAGATATATTATACCTTCAAGATGTTGATAAAGATTTGCGTGAAAGCTTGAGTCATTCTTTTAAATCAGATGATTTTGGCAGTGTTGTCAATGATGAAATTAATGGTCAGCAAATAGTTAATACTGTTGAAGATGAAATAGACATACTTTTGTCCCATGAATCTGGGTTGATTCAAAGAAAGAAAGATCCTCAACTGTATGTACAGTTTTCTTAATTGACCAGATATAATGTTTTTGTTTCCTTAAATGTTTTTTTTTATTGAAAGTAATAATTTTTTTAGATGTAAACATAATAACCATGGGAAGTGCTTGCACTGTTCTCCTTTAGAGGTTTGTTTTTAAAATTTTAAATTTTGTGATAAAAAAAATAATTTATAGTTTGTTTTTTATAATTAAAATTGATTAGTTTTTAGTTGTTGTTTTTTTTATAATGTGCTTCTTCTAGCCTTATGATGAAGAATACTTAAAGAGTCTAAATCCTCCTGCAAAACATTTATCTTTTCATGCATATTTGAAGAAGTTAAAGAGTGGTGCAAGCAGGTGACTCATTTCTTAAATATTTTTAAAAATATGTTACAAATTAATCTACTAAAGTTATAACATAAATGCTTTAGCTAAAGGCTGTTTTTTACAATTTTAAGTGTTTCGATAATTTAAAAGCTTCGATAATATAAAAGATCAAACTTATTTAATTGTAAAGGCTTTCTAAAACTTTTTTTTTCAACGAAGTTTTGTTCATCTTTTTAAATGTATTAACTTTAATTATTCTTTTATTAAAATTCATTAAAAAGACTTTCGTAGTTGTAGAATGTCATCATTGATAAAAACAAAACAATTTTTTAATTTTTAATAAAGTTTATTATAGAAATGCACACTTTAACAATTTATAAATTATAAATTAAAAATATATATACAACTGTCAATAAATATTTTAAAAAAAAAAAAAACATCAGTAAATTGATAATTTTTTTAAAAGCGTCTCACTAATATAAAAAAATTTGTTAAGAAGTTTTGATGTAAATAATTTCATTTTTTTAGAATATTTTTTATTTAGCGCGTTTTTTATATAAATCTCTATATTTAACAATGATTAGGCGGGTGGTATTTTTAATTTATCAAAATTTATTTTAATTTTTCCTCACTCCGAGCATTGTATATATATATATATATATATATATATATATATATATATATATATATATATATATATATATATATATATATATATAATATCTGATAATGCATTAAGTAGAGCATGATATTCAATATATTTATATATCATTTTATATTGTCAGAGTCAAATAAGATTGGATTATATTAATTATTTATTTAAATTAGTTTTTTTAATTATTTTTAGTTATAAAACTTTTGGTTATTTGTATACTTGTTTTAATAGGGGGAAGTTTGTAAATATGGAAGATTTAAATTGTAAAATTAAGCCTGGTTGTCTAGAGCACTCCCCTTGGCCAAAAGGAATTTGTACTAAATGTCAACCCAGTGCTGTTCTACTTAGCAGACAAGTATTTCTGATTAATTATAAAATGTTAGTATTTATCTTTTTTGTTGTTGTTTGTTGTTGTTTTGATATTTTTATAGAAATACAGACATGTTGATAATATAATGTTTGAAAATCCCATGATAATGGATCGCTTCTTAAATTATTGGCGTAATACTGGTTTTCAGGTTTGTTCTTTATTCTTATAGTTAATTTCTTCTTTTTTACTTAATAAAAAGTTTATGTTTAAAGCTATTTTTTTTCAGAAAATTTTGTTTAAATTATTTCAAGATCTTTAAGATTGACTATTTACTTTCAAGAAGCAAAAAAATGCTTTTACAAAGTTTGAAAAATATTTAACAATTAAAAAAGTTTGCAACATATAAAATTTTCTTTCCTGGCTTTATTTTCTTAATCTTATAATTTTACTATCAATAGAATGTTTGAATTTCCTAAAAAAATATTTTTCCTGATAACAATAACTATTTATGAACTAACACTTCACTTATTGTTATTTGTCCATAGCAACCATCACCATAGCAGTATTCGTTACAAAATCATCAATCTCAGTATTATCTTCACTTATCCAAACTAGATATTCTAAATGATATTGTCCTAGACAGCTTTTCCAGTTATTTTTTACCCAATTCATTCAGGAAAACATTCATTCTACCTTTGCATTTATAAATGGACAAATTAAATATAGTTCAAATATATCAAGAATGTTTTGTCATTCTTGACCAAATTTGGTTTGGTAAAAAAAATTTCTCTTGTTCAAATAGATTTCATTTTAAAGTAAAATCCTAAAATAAAATTTGCTTATTTCTAGATAATATTATACCTTGATATCGCTATAAGTAAAATGAAAATTTTAATAAATGGTAAAAAATAGTTTACATTTTTTATATTCTATGCAAAATTTCTTGTTTAAATAATTTATAGTTAGAAGCTTTTTATGTGTTAACAAAATAAAAGATATAAATGGAAACATTACTATATGTTACTGAGTAAGTATTTTATATTAAAAAAATAATGGTAGGTTTCCACTTAGCGATGGATTGTGTATATGATGTTCATGAGAGGTCAGTCGTAAATGATAATCTGAAAGGCATTAAGTAAAAGAGTCATTGACAGTGTTGCATGTCATTTTTTGAATAAAAACAGTTTTTTTTGAGTTGAAATAGACAAGTTATTACAGAAGAAAGCTTTTGCCTCATTACTTCCACATAATGCATGATTTAAGCAAGTGATGAATGAGTCTAACTATTCTGTAAATAATCAATTAAAAGTAGAACGAGAATATTGAAATTTGTATTATTTGTCAGAGAGTAAATTGTCAGACTTTGGATAAGAAATTAGAAATTGGTGAACTAAAGATTCAAAGGCCTTACTACTGGGAAAATGCTATTGCTATTATAAATAGGTCAAAATTCTAAAAATATTGGTGAGAACTTTAGCAACAGGAACTGGGGGTTTTGGTTTGTTTAACTTTGGATTGACTTTTTTCTTTGAGGTAACAGGAAGAGTGGTCATTTGATTCAAAAGTTAAATTAGAGGTTCTTTGCATTTGTTAAAGGGATCCCAAACTCCCAACACATGTTGTGTTCATATTAAAGATAATGTTAATAAAAAAGGTTTGAACCAAGTTTTTTTGATTAAAAATAAATAATCAATGCATACCGAGAAAAACTAATGTTGTTGTTTTAGCCGAAGCTCGCCTTCTCCATTTTTTTCAATAACTCGGAATCTTTAAATTATACGTCACAATCTACAGACTTTGGCGATTCCTTTGAAGCGCGTTTAATTCATAAAAGTTTTAACATTTGACGTCACGGTAGATTTTTAACAAAAGAAAAGTGTAATTAAACAAAGCTATTTTAATTCATAAAAAAAAATTTTAACATACTGTAAAATAACTTTTAAAACAATTTTTTGTAAAAATCAAAAATAATAAAAGCTTTTTATTTCATAAGAGGAACTTTTTTTTTTTTTACCAATATCTTAATAATTTTTAGATTTATATATCTTACTTATATTTCTTTTGTTTTTAAATTAAAACAAATATTAAAGCTTTACTTACAAATCTTATGATTTTCATACAAGTGTTTTACATTATTTAGAATGTTATGTATACGGTCTCTCGTTTTTGTGCAAGAGAGCGCAGTATTATATATTCTGAATCTTACTTATTTTTATTTAACAATTGCAACTTTTTTCTAACTTCTGGTTATTTTTACGCTATGATATTTTTTGTTTTCCCGTCGAAAAAAAGTATTAATAATTAATTTCATAAACTGACAGTATTAATTAGAGATATTTGATGAATTGTTAACTTTTTTTTGTTATAAAATTTTTTTGATTAAGCTGATTTATTTTAAATTTGCTAAGTTGGATACGAATAAAAAGGAAATATCATTTTATTTTACATTTGATTTTTGATTATGAAACTTTTAAAATATCGGCAACTCCACACCAATTAGAACCTGTTAAGGTTATGAAAAAAAAGTAAAAGAATACACTAAACAATACAGATGACAGTAGTATCAGATGTGAAAATTCGTGAAAGGATATATGAGATCCTGGTTTTGCATTAAAAGTACAATTAATAGCAACACGAGTCGGCGTTATTAATTTTGATTATAAGTTTATTGTTCAATATTTTATAACCATCAAATAAAAAACATGAAGTTTGTATATATTCGCCTGTTTTATACAACTAATATTTAACAAAAATACGTACAAATTATTATTATATAATGCAATAATTAACACATTAATTAATGGCAATAATTCAAGATAAATTGTAATTTAAATTGTCAAAATGTCATAACGCGCGTTAAAAAACATTATATTTGGTATTTCTCAAAATTGTATCATATTTAGCATTTGTCTCTTAACATGAAAAAATTTAAAAATACAACAAATACAAATTTTCAAGCAATTTTCTCTTCCATTTTTCATTTATTCAAAGAAAAGTTACTAATTAAACTTTTATTTCTCTCATCTAAATAAAGAACGAGTGACGCAAAAAAAATATATTCTATACAACTCTAAATCATTCGAAGTTTAATTACGCGAAACTTTTCTTTCTCTTTTGTTCTACTCTTATAAAAAAAGCGAGCGATGAAATAAAAACTTTTCTTTATTAACATAAATTTATATTTAGAAATAAAATTAAATTAGAAATAAAGCAATAATGAACAAAGCAACTAACAGATTAATCTGGGGCTATTTTGATATTAATGAAAACTAGCAGTAAGCAACACGTAATATCCGTTGTTAGTAAATAAAATTAAAAAAAAAAAACGCGTATAGAAAAGCCTAGAAACTTCTTTAAAATAGAAAAGCCTAGAAAATGACGTAATTTGACTAATAATATTAAATTAGCGTATTAATATTATCAGAAGATAATCAACATAAACAACATTACCAACAGCAATTATCAAATAAACAACACAATATTGCTTAATTTTAGGGCTTTTTATTTTTATTGCTTAGTCGTTCTTAGTAATAAGTAAATTTAGTTTAAGTTAATATTTCAATATTTACGGTTGCATTATAATAAAGAAATGATGTTTAATGTTGAAATTTTTATTTAATTATTTATTTTTTACCTACATTTGTTATGAAAAACTTTTAAACCTCCGTTATTAAAATAATTTGTTTTGAATATATTTCAAAGTGATTATTCAAACTAATTTTTTTCGCTTGACTTTCCGAACTTCATGCAAAGCAAATTGAGACGAAATATTATCTAACCAAATAAAAATGCTTTTATTAATTATATAAGGGTAATTAATGTAAAACAATTTTTTATCAGAGTCTTGATTGAGATAATAAATATTCATAATTTATAAACATTAAATATATGGCGCAATAACAATTTATAGCAACGAACCAGCATAAAATATTTGAGGTTTTTAATATCTTTTTAAATTTTAAAAATAGAAAAAAAAAACTTAACAAATAATTAAAAAAGTTCGAATAAAAATAAAAATATTTCCAGAGTTTCATTTGTTAAAAGTCTACCGTGACCTCAAATACTAAAACTTTTCTGAATTAAACCCGCTTCAAAGGAATCGCTAAAGTCTGTAGATTGCGATGTATACTTTAAAGACTCAGAATTATTGAAAAAAATGGAGAAGGCGAGCTTCGGCTAAAACAACAACTTTAGTTTTTCTCAGTATGCATTCATTATTTATTTTTAATCAAAAAAACTTGGTTCAAACCTTTTTTTTAACATTATCTTTAATATGAACACAACATGTGTTGGGAGTTTGGGATCCCTTTAAGTTTATATAAAATAATATAATAAAAAAAGAGTTTAAATTAGAAATTAGTTTAGTAACAGAAGGAGAAGTGATCTGCCATTTTGATTTGTGATGTGGCCTGATTTGGATGTCTAACATAGGATTTGGATCTTTGATCCTGATTAATTCTTTGAAAGTAGAAATGATTTGGACAGTGGGTTATTATCTTTTTCTATAAATCATAAAATCAACATGAAAAAAATCACAAAAGAAATCGCAGTCAGGCTTAACATATTAGAAAAAATCTTATGTGATGTGAATCTAATCTGTAGAAAAAATGTTATGTATTAATTACTTTTAATTATATTAAAATTATATTTATAAAGTTTTATGAATCTTTGAATAGCTTATTTGATTTCTTATAGAGACTAGGCTATTTGTATGGAAAATATGAGAAACATGACAATGTACCATTAGGAATACGTGCAACTGTTGCTGCTATTTACGAACCACCTCAGGTAAATAATTTTAATATATAGAACAAACTTTAACTTAATTACTAACTTTAGTTTACTAAATTTATAGTTTTAATTTACACTGAATTATTTGCAGTCTTTGTTTTTCTTTTTGTTTTTTAACAGTTGTTAAAAAAATGTAAAAATAAAATGAAAATATACAAGTTATAATATACCAAAGAATGTACCCTTACAAAAGATTTTTTTTTTTTTTTCTTTGTCAAAAAAATTGATATTTTTTATGTTATCTTTATTGAGACATAATATCAAGCAATAAGTCAAAAAGCATTGATTTAAATATTAACACACAATCTGGTTTTAAGCATTAAAATAGAACAACTGGTGCAATATTTGTTCATTTAAATGAAATTTTAGAAAGGTAAAAAAGGCCTTCAAATGCCATTTGCAAACCTTGAAAAAGCTTTTGAGTACCAAGAGTGAGATATTGAGGTATGAAAAGTGGCTGGTAACAGTTATAATTGCTATGTATGAAAATTTCACAGTTTTAAAGTAAAGCTAGGTGTGCACTATACAGTCTGAATTTCCGTCTAGCTACAAAAAGTACATTTTTAAAGAATAAAGAATAAATGTGTACAGAGTATTATAATGTATGGTAATGAAATATGGGATGCTTAGGTTGATGTCCAACGTCTTGAAAAAACAGAGAAGCTGTTGATCAGATAGATATACTGTGTGACTCTAAATAATAAAAAAGCCATTATTTTTAACAAATTAGATAGTGTGAGTGATCTAATATGGTATTTCTAATATGGTAAAATTAAAGAGGTCATGTTGAGCGTAAAGATTCATTCAGATGATTGGGTATCAGGATGTTTGTAGCAGTTTTAAGGGGAAATGCTAAAGGTGGATAAAAAAATCTTGGAAAGTGTGTTTTAAATGACATTATTAGTTGAAAGAAGATGCTCAAGATTTAGTTATAAAAATTTCAAAAAAGTTATTTGAGTAACTCTGTAATTTAATAATGTACCCAGTATGTAAAAATACTTTTTTACATTCTGGGTACATTACACCATGTCAAATATAAATTAGAGCCAAAAAGCAGTCTAATCACTGCCCGTTAATTAACACATCAGTTAATTTTTATTTATTTTTTAACAATCAGCAAATCTTTACATCTTTTACTATTAGTTTTCCTTTTTTCTAAACTTAAATTAAAAGGAAACATAGTACTGGTAAACCAGTGCTTTGCCAGTACTATGTTGTGCAAGGGTAATATTTTTGTTAGTGCTTTCAGTGTGTCATAGATCAAATAACCTAGTTTTTGTGAAATTTAATTCAAGTTGCCTGGCTATCTTGGTTTGAAATCACTTTTAGGCAGAAGGTTGTTCCAGATCAACTGTTTATAAGCGTATCCTTCTTGAATGATGAAAAGGTCAAATGCAGTTATTTCCAAAAATGAGTGCTCAAAATTTAAACATGTTTCCAAAAAAAAAGTTCAAAAATGTAGACAGTTTAAAAAAATATATAAAAATTCTAATTTGCACCAGAATAAAAAACAGATTATGTCTGACAGGATCAGATGTTGCCTGAGAAAAGTTTTGCTAAGGTTCAATGACACAGTAAAGGCTAAATAAGTTACAGAGTAAGATGAATTAATTTTTTTATTATTATTAGTGAACATAGAAAAACTTTTTGTCAATATATATATATATATATATATATATATATATATATATATATATATATATATATATATATATATATATATATATATATATATATTTAATTAGTATTATTTTAAATTGAAATTATATTTAAAAAACTACTTCATATGTTGAATATTTAACATTTTTTTATATGCCTAATATTTTGCTATAATTAGATTATTATATATTTATACTCAAAATTTTTAAAATACATGGTTTTGAAGTTTCATTGTTCTAATTGCCACATGTCATGCTAACTTGTATGCTGCTGTCATGTTTTTTTATTATTTCCTTGTTAAGTTGCCCCATTAAGATTTTCTTTATTATATAAAGGCTAAAAAAAAGTTACTTATACACTCTTTTTTATATAAAAGTTAGAGTCAGTGTCCTATATTCTTTTAAGTGGTTCTCAATCATCTTAAAAAATGTCTTCTAGTAAAGACTAAGGGTAAGGAAGAAATGTTAATCTTCTAGTAAAGACTAAGGGTAAAGCCAAAATAATGATCATACTTGAACCCGTTTTTTATCTAATAGGTTGGCATAAATTTAAATATATTGCTTCCTGTCTAGAATGATGAATGTTCTAAAGCCCATTCTTGTGTCCACGGTTTTTTGCTTGTGTCCATGCTTTTTTGCTTGTGCCTTTTCTGTATTAGTGTCTATGCAACCTGTTATCTCCTTTCTTGACTTTATCTCCCTTCTTCTTAATTTCTGTTTCTTCTTGTTATCTTCTAATGAAGCTCTAAAATTCAAATTGTTTTTTGATCAGCTGGTAGTGAGGTTTCCCAAACTTAGTGGTAGCTCTCAGAGTTGCTAAATCCATCAATAACTGTAAAATATCAAGGTATTAACAGTGCGATGTTGCACAAGGGTGGTGTTTTTGGTCTGCCATGCATAAGGTCATCTATTTATTGTGAAATAAAGTTTAAAATTCCTCACTTCTTTTATGTGCCTTCAATTAGCACCACTTCAAGATCTCTTTTTTACCTGTAAATATTGTTGTTTTTGGTGGCTTTGATATTCATTACACTGAATGGCTTGGCTCTAGTACCACTAATGTTAGTCCTTGTGCTAAAATCTTTAATCACTTTGTTGCATATTGTGGCTCTATGTAATCTTTTTTTCTTTTTTTTTTTAATTCCTTTTTGTTTCTTTTAAGCTAAAACAGAGTTGTTAACAAGGCCAAAAGTACAAAGTCAAGACCAAGAGTTTTAAGGTCAACCCCTACTCAAACATTTTCAAGACCAAAGATTTCAGTTTTTGCCTTATGTTAAGGCCATTAACAAAACTGTAGGTAACAAGTGCTGTGACAAAACATTTTGTAAAAATAGACCAAGGCTATGCACAGAATTCAACAAAGTCAATAAAGAAGTATGTATTTTTTTGTAAGGCCAAGGCCAAAACAATCAAGCCTAAGATTTTTTCCTGAAATGCTTTCAAACAGCTGTACAAATCATTTACTAACTGTCCTTGGTTTTAACGTTTCAAATTAAAATCACTCAAATAGCCTGTAAGGTTGACCAGAAATATTACATATCCATTTTGGGTCACTCAATTCAGATAGTGATTTATCTTATATTTGCATAAAATGTGCTATCTCATTTCTTATCTCATATAACCGTTTTAGCATTTTCCCTTAGCTTAGCCATCTAACTTTACAATATATGTTGTCATATTTTTAGTTGCTGTAAAGCAAGCAATTCCTCAGTAACAATGAACTTTTTTATCAACATCTCAAATAAATATAGCCAGTTGAGTTGTATTGGAAAAGTTTTGTCTTTTCTTATTTGGCCATTCAGTGGGTGAAGTGTAGGATGCTTAGTTAAGTAATGCTTCTTTATATTAAATTCTTTCATCATTAAAATGGATTCATTGAACAGCAAACAACTAGGCTTACGATTGTGCAAGTAAAAAAAGAATTCTTTAGTCCATTTTTCTTGAAACTAATAGAACAAACACAACCCTTATTATCTACTTTTTATTTCCTTTCGCCAGATGTCATTTTTGTCTACTTTTCATTTGATATACAACTCTTTTCCTATCAGGCATTTTAACAAAAACTTCACAAATAAACTTATATAATTAAAAGTTAAAATGAAATTGTTATTATGTAAGTTTTTAATACACTTCATTTAACATTTAAATGTGAAAATAAACCATTGTTTTTATAAATAACAACTAAAACATTAACATTAATTCTAACCTCAAGATTATAAGTTAAATCTTCCAGAGTTTTAAAATCTGTAGCAGTAAATTATTGGCAAATGAAGATTGATGGTGCCTAAATTCTGGAAAGAACAGAAAATTATGACCAGATAAAAATCTATGAACTGTTTTTTTTTTTTTTTTTTTTTTTCTATAATCATAATTAAAGTTTTAATATTGTTTTGCTTCTTCTGAGGCAATGCTTGACAGAATTTTTAATTTTTTTTAAAGGATAAACTTAAAGATCTATTTAAAGTTAAAGGGGTTGAACAACCTCTGAAATAATTTTTATAATTCAACTTTACAAATCCAGTGTCATTTTATTAAAAGTTTATTTTATAACCTCCTTAATACAATTTTTTCTTTTTTTTTTTTTTTTTTAGGAAAATACTAAAGATCGTATTCAGCTTCTTGAAGACAACCATGATGAATTTGTAGAAATATTAGCTTCATATATGGGATTAAGAAGGGTAAAAATATTTTGTTTGATTGTTTTTGTATTAGCTGGTGAACTTTTTGACTTCTTCTAAGCTTTGTTTGCAGAAAAACTTTTTTAATTATTATAAATTTTTAAGTATTTTTTAAAGGAAAAGTTTTAGAATATGTTTTGGAGTCATTGTCATAGAAAGCTAGCATTTAAAAATATAAGAAAGACATTATCTTGACACTCGCTCTTTTAATAAAGATTTTTTATAAATAGCATTTTTTATAAATAGCACTTTTAATAAAGATTTTTTATAAATAGCACACTCTTGCACTTCCCATTTTGATACAACAGCTCAGCATATAAAATATTTTTCAAGTTTTTTGAATCAACTATATTATTATCAGGTTGGTTGGATATTTACAGATTTATTGCCTGATGAAGAAAATTCTGGTTTAGTCAAACATTTAAGACATAGCAAAAGTCACTTTTTAAGTGCTCAAGAATGCATCACAGCAGCTCACTTTCAAAACAAGTATCCAAATTCCTGTAGAGATTCTTCAGCTGGAAAGTTTGGCTCAAAATTTGTTACAGTTTCTGTATCAGGTAAATTACAAAAAAGAAAATTTTGTGTTTAATCAATATATATGAAATAATTTTTGCAGTTTAAAATTTTTTTAAAGGTCATGAAGATAAGCATATTCATTATGATGGTTGGCAGGTATCAAACCAATGCATGGCACTTGTTCGTGATGGATGTTTAGTGCCTACAATAGATGATCCTGCTCTTGGTTATATAAAAGAATCATCTAGTGACCAATATGTTCCAGATGTTTTTTATAAGGCAAAGTTGATCATTTTATATTTCATTTGTTGTTGCTTACAATTAATGTGTCGCTGTTTACAGTTAATATTTTGTAATTGATAGGACTTTATTTGATTATTTCAAAATAAGTCTATGTAGAATTAATTAATTTAATTTATAGGAGAAAGATGTGTATGGCAATGAAGTTACTCGTATTGGAAGACCAATGCCAATGGAGTATTTTTTAATAGAAGTATAGTTTTATTAATTTTTCCTTTAGTAAAAATTGTACTTAATTTTTTTTAATTATTTGTTACTTTTCATAGGTACCTGCTGCTTTTCCTATAGAACCACAATATACATTTGTTGGGTGCAGGGATTCGCCATTTCCTATTGAGAATAGGTCACAGATAGGAGAAATTCAGGTGCATTTGCTTTACTTATTTTTATTTTAAATGTTTAATATATGATTTTCTTAACCATTTCGAAGAAAACTAATAATTTTTAGATAAAATTTTATTATAGTTTAGATATTAGTGAGATTAGATATTAGTTTTCTTGAATAAATTTTTCTGATAGAAGGCTAAAAATATTTTTTCTTAGAACTTTGATGTGTTTGCGCAATATGTCCGAACGATATCTTCAAATATAGTTGATGGATTTTCAGATTTTCATTTCTTATTATACATGTTTACCAATGATATGCTTCCAATGAGGGTATTTGCAATGAATTTTTTTTTTTTTTTAATTTTTATTAATTATTTTTTAATCACATTTAAATATTAATCTGAAATTATTAAAAATTATTTTACTGCTTTTGTATAATTTTTGCTGCTTTTCTATAATTTTTTTTTATTTTATTTTTATTTTAGAGCATTCTTAATGACATATGTAAAGCTCTTAAATCAAAAAATGAAAATTTGCTACGAGATTGTTTGGAAAAAGAAGAATGGAGAACAGTGGTACAACTCATTCAAGCACACGGTATACTATTTTTTAACACGGTGCACTATATTTTTTGGTACGGTACACTATTTTTTTAGTAGGCATTGTGTTGTGTATGAAAAATTCATTGCACTATATATTGTATTTTTGTGTGTGTATAAGATTGTATAAGATTTTTTATATTAAATTGTGAAGAAGACCAATTTAACTGATGTTAAATTTTTATATTAATACAAATGATTCGTTGTTTAATATCTTATTGTTTTATTGTTAGGCATTTAATTAAAAATGACTTTATATCATTATAGTTCATTCCCCGTTTGAAAGTGTTGCAAATAGAAGGGGCTCTGTGGAAATGATGGATACCGACTCAGTAGATGTGACGGGATGGACATGTAGACATTGCACTTATATAAACTCGCCTTCATGCGATGCTTGTGATATGTGTTCTTTACCAAATTCTTAAATATTGTGAATCTTAAAATATTTAATCGATTATTTCTGCTTGCTTTTGTAACCATTATGAAAAAAATTGACAATTTAATATAGTTTATTTATTCTGCAAAATTTATAGCTTTTTTTTTTTTTTTTTTTGTTTAGATTAATTCATAAATCATTTTATATACATTAGGGTTATGACAAAAAAACAATTTTTTGTAAAAGGAAAAATGAACATAATACTAATTAAGAAAATCACATATTTTGTTCAGTTCATAAAAAAGGTTTCAAAAAAAGATATTTAAAGCTTTTCAATAAATTAATTGTAAAAAAATACTAACTAATTAAAACAAAATTTGAAGAAAAAAAATTTTTTAAGACATTTTTTACCAATATCCTTCTTAAAAAGTTTACATTTGAAAAAGATTTCGAAATCTCTATAAAATTTTACTGTTTTTGATACTCAACATGATATACCGTAAGATAGGATAACATTGGCCCAATTTTTTAATTTTTTTGGAAAAAAAAATCACTGATTTTTGAGAAAATTATGTATTGGTGTTTTAATTGGCTGGTTCGGTTAAATTAACACAGTCCTTTAATTTATGACTACTTTTAAAATTCCAAATATTATAAAATCACTTTGTTATTTTAAAATCTTAGGTTAAAGTTATCTTGGAACTTGGGGAAACTTCGGCCCTTAACTATAAACCCAATGTTTCATATACATTGGATCAGATTAAAGTTAACTTAAAAAAAACAATTGTTAAGAAAAATTAAAATTATTATTACCAAACTCTAACATGATTAAATGTCAGACAAAGTCTTCTTTGCATTTAAACTCATCTTGAAGTGTAACACTCTTTTTTTTTTTTAGTAATAAACGGAAAGCTTTGCCCACTTTTATATACAGGCTGGTTTTTAGGCAAGCAATTTAGCCGTTTTGATTATACAAGAGATTAATTCCATATTTTTCAAGCCTAGCCATCAAGATCTCCTCTTAATCTTTTCATAGGTGCAAAGAAACCAAAATCCAATGGTTGAGTTAGCTAGGTTGAATTTATAGTAGTGATCACAAAGAAAGGTGTTCTTTTTTTGTGATCGCCACCGTATTTATGTAAGTTTGAATGTATGTATGTATATTAGGGTTATGACTTTCAATATTTTTTCAAAAATCTGTACTTCCTGTGGTAACAAATGAAGAACTTTTGTGACTTGATCATTTATAAAATATTTTTAGAGCTTGTTATAAAAAAAGTTCCTGTACCAAGACGCCCGACGACATGATAGGTTTTACCAAAATGTTTTTCTCCCAAAGTACCAAAAGATGGAGTAAGATTGGCCCTTTGAGGGTAACTTTGGCCTGAAGTTCGAAATCGTTGTTATGTACTGTATTTTGGCAATAGAATTGAGATATTTATTTAATTTATGCCTCACGTTTTAGGTGACAGTACAAACATGGCTTCTTACTTGTTAACAAGTCAGCAATATATTAACATCGACAATAATATTAAAAGTTCAACATGTTGAACTTGTAATAATATTGTCGATTAGAATGCAATGTTAATAGATTTTTTTAAAAAAAACAAAGAAGGAAAAAAAACTTGGTATTACTTAATTCCTTTAAAGCAGCAGTCGAATAGTACATATTTGACTTATATGACGCCCAGATTTTTCCGCCCGTTTTTGAAGATTAAATTAATAATAATAACTTTAGTGAAAATAATTCGGTACCATAATCAATACAAATCATTTATGAGATCATAGCGTATAAAGCTTTGTTTTTATTTATTTATTTATGGATTTTAATATTGTTAATTTTTTAAATCTCCCATGATAACTTATTGTAAAATTGAGTATGAATGAAGCTTAGTGGTCTTCTATAGTATTTAATTCCTATTATTAACATTAAATTTTGATCAAAATAAAAAGTTATTTTTTATACTGAGAACTCTACCTTTCACGTTGATGAATTCAATAAAAAGTTGTTCAATTATTTGTACATTATAAAGATTTGTAACCCTTAGGTTTCTAAAGCTTGTAAAGAACTGCTCTAAATCTTAGACGTATGTTGAGCTTAATAATTTTCCAAAACAGCAACTTACTTTTTTTTTTAATCTTTAAATACCTTGATCTATTTAGCAGCATATATCGTTGGCAAATTTTAATCCACATTCCTTGTTTCAAGTCTCTTTTAGAATTTTAATCACACCATCTATAGATTATATATATTTATAAGTAAGCATTTAATAAATAATATATAAGTTATGGTCTATGTATTAATTTTAATTTAATTATAAATTCACAGCAACAAAATTCTCTAACAAAAAAGTTGCGCTTTAAGAACTTTTAAAAACGTTTGTTTTAGGAAAATCGTTATTTTTCGGAACGATGAAAATTTTATGGTGATAAACAACAACAAAAAAATGAGGAAATGTGTTGCAAGATCTTGTCCTTATGAGCACACAGATATGTTGCTATAACTCTTTACATAACCCGAGACTGTTTCAAAAATTTCATATACTTATAAAAAAATAACAACGTGTATATGACTTTTATAACAATTTATTGAGATTAATAAAAAGTTAAATAAGTGAATTAACAAAATTTTCTATCGGTATTATTATTGTTATATAATATTAAGTTATAATAACAATAATCTGATAAATCTCATGGGAAACAACCAGATTATGTTCAGTAAACCAATCTACAGTTAGCCTGGTCAAGAAGAATTATTTTCTAAAAGGCAGCTTATCACCATTAAGACAACGGAATGTGGTCAAAAACGAAAGACCTCAGAGAGAGTTGATGGATATCTGATGCTGGAGAATATTAAAAAAAAAAACAAGTGACCAAATAATCAATATCAATAATGAATGATTACTCAAACACAAATGCTGCACATGACATCCATGTCTGCTTGAAGACTGTGCAGAGAAGGTTGATAACTGTTAAGAATTTCGCCAGAAAATCTTCTAAAAAACCATTACTTATAGATGCAATGAAAATGAAGCGTCTTTTGTGGGCAATGCAAAAAGTGGACGAAAGAACAATGGAGAAGGGTATAAAAAAACATAGTTGTTAAATTTACTGCTATTTTATTTGTTGTATTTTTATAATCTACTATTTTAAAAAACTGAAAATATTTAATTGAAGATTACTCAAACACAAATGTTACACATGGCATTCATGTCTGCTCGAAGATAATTAATAATTATCATTAAGATTTGATAATTATCTTTCACAGACTTGTTAATTGTTAAATTGTTTATTTATTGATTGTTGGTTTTATTTTCGGATGAATCATATTTTGAAATGCAAGACTTGCAATCAAAGTTTGTTCTTCACTCTGATGGTGAGCCTAAGAAACCCGGACACATTAAACAAAATGTCAAGTGTCCTAAAAAGAAGATGTTTTGGTGTTGTTTCTCTACTTTTGGACCAGGAGCACTTTACCCAGTTAATGACACGATGAGTTCTGACACTTAAATTGAGGTTCTGCAAGCAAATTTAGTTCCAGAGATGTTGAAAGCGTTTCCAAATCGGAACGGAGTGTTGAAGCAAGATTTAGCCTCATGCCATACATTCAAAAAAGTCAAGAAATTCATGGTGAAAAATTATATCAAAACACTTAAATAGCCAGATCCCAATCAATTTAAGATCTCTCCCAACTCAACTCCCCAGATCTCAATCAATTTGAGAACCTCTGGGCTATTGAAAAAAAAAAGACTATGAAAAAATGATTGCACAACTAAGTTTACCACGACTATTCTTCAGATTTGGTTTGAAGACCCGAAAAAATAAGATCTATTACATTTGTAAAAATTAGGTAGATTCTATACTAAATTGTACAGAAAAAAAATTTGGTAGATATGTCAATTCATAGCAGCATAGAAGGATACACAAAATATTAGTGTAAAAGTTTTTATTATATCGGAGAAAGAAAATTTAAAAATTTCTGGACTTTTATTGTTTTTGATTTTGATGCAATTAATTTGCACAATACTGTATATAAGTATATAAAACATAAATAAACAAATGTTACTTCCACAAACCTCCAATATTTATCCAACACTTTTTAAAAATGACGAAATATTTACTTTTATTCTTTTATTGACAAGAACAGATAAATATATGAAACGTATTGATACAAATATTTTACAGTAGAAACAATAATATATATATATATATATTATTTATATATATATATATATATATATATATATATATATATATATATATATATATATATATATATATATATATATATATATATATATATATATATACAGTTAGAAAAATATTTTACAGTAGAAACAATAATATATATATATATATATATATATATATATATATATATATATATATATATATATATATATATATATATATATATATATATATATATATATATATATATATATATATATATATGTATAATATATACAGTTAGAAACAAATATTTTACAGTAGAAACAATAATATATATATATGTATATATATATTATATATATATATATATATATATATATACAAATATATATATATATATATATATATATATATATATATATATATATATATATATATATATATATATATATATATATAATATATGCAGTTAGAAAAAAAAGGTGTTTTTATTTAAATACAATATATGTTTACATATATAGGTGTTTATATTTAAATACAATATATGTTTACATATGTTCACATTAGAGTGGGTTAGCAACTTGGTATCAACGGGGCGCTATTAAAAAAGAATCATCTATTTTTGTTTTCTTTTTTTATACAACGGGGTCTTTAGAACTTGGTACATGCACGCACAAACTCTTATTCCATATCTTTCATACAGACTTTCATGCGCATAGTTATAACGTTTTTATCTTTTTTTAAATAACTGTCGTTGATAATATTAGTTTAGGCGTTTAATGTTGATGCCATTTCTTGTTGGAAGTTTTTGATTAGCCACTCGTATGAAACTCTTTGTAAATAATTTTCTTTAATCAAATGCGCTAGTAGCAAGCGAAGGTTTTTGAATCTTGGCTGAGTTGGATCACAGAAGTTTAAACAATACTCTCCTTCGTGTGAAGGTATTTCACTTAC